ACACACACACACACACACACACACACACACACACACACACACACACACGCTCCAAACTGGAAACAAAGCGAATGCCTATTGATTAGGGAATAGGTGAACAAATTGTGGTATATGATCATAGCTAGCATTTATAGAATTCTTTAAGGTTTGTAAAGCACTTTACATGTGTTTTCTCATTAGATCCTCACAATAATCCTGTTAAGGTAAATGCTGTTATTATCTCTAGTTTACTGGTGAGGAGATTGAGTCTGAGAGAGGTTAAGTGACTTGCCATGGGTCACACAGCTAATAAGTGTCTGAGGCTGGGTTTTGAATTTGGATTCAACACCATTATTCTTGATTCCAGATCTAGCACTTTTATCCATTATACAACATGGAATATTAGCTTATCCTAAGAAACAAAAAATGTGGGCAATTAAAAGAAATTTAGGAAAACATGAATAGATACAGAGCAAAGAAAGTAGAACCAAAAGACAAAAAAGATAGGAAATCACTATAATGATGAAAAGGAAAATGCACTCAAAGACATTAAACTTCAAATTAATGTAATAATCAATCTTGATTCTAGAGGGCTAATGATGAAACCTACTCTCCCCCCCCCCCAGTGGAGAGGTAGTGTGCTATGGGTACAGAAGTTTAGATACATTTTGCTTATCTGTTTTTCTTTGATACAAAAGAGTGTTTTATATAGGGAGATGGATATTGGGAGTGGCAATGATGTGAAAAAAAAAAGGCACTACTAAAACATTTTTCAAAAATAAAATGAGGGCTCTTGTAATTATATTGACTTGTCTTCTCATTTCCTGTTCCAATTCCAGTTCCCTTTCTTGCCCTAGTCTTTTATTGATGCTTTTTTTTAACCTCCCCCAAGAAAGCAGTAAATGTTTTATACAGTATCATTAAGCATTTTTCTCTTACTACCCAGCAATGTGCCTGGCTGGGAGGGTTGGAGTGGGGGTTTGGGAGAAGAAATATTCAGAGCCCTTCTGGAAAAAGGAGTTTGGTCTTTCTGTCTTAGAAAATCATGCATGTCTATTGGTAAGGAACTTTCTTCTTCTCACAGGAAAAAAATAATAAAACAACAACCAAAAATCAAACCACAGGAAAACAAAAAACTCAAAGTACTACCCTCTTGGGAGGGAGAAGGAAAAGTGTTCTTGGTGTACTTGGCATAAATGGCTTGGAATCAGACAGGCTTGGTGAAAAGACCAGCTTGGGGCACCCAGTCATTGGAAGTAAGAGCTTATGTGTAAATCTATATAATCATTTCCCTGAAAGGTACTTAACTGGGGGTAATATTCATCTTCCACTGAGGACGCAGCAGGAAACAGAGCGGTCAAATACCCAGGACAAAAAAACTCTTTGGGTACCAGCTCCTGTTGCCCAGAATTTTCAACTACTTAACACTCAGGACTGGTTGGTCCTTCCAGACCTGCTGGGGAGCAGGTGGGTGGCTTCAAGCATTGTCCTGCCTACTCACAGTTCCCCCGGCCCCTCAGAAGGAGGCAAGCTAGTGTTGGGCAGGGCTTTCCACAGGACTGCAGTTAAGAGGCATTCATTAAGAGGGGTCAAGGTACCTCCTTCCTTTGTGCCGCCCCCACAGCAACTCCCCCTTTCCTCCTAGGTTCAGGGCAATTTACCAGCCAGTTCTGCACCATGTTCCTAGCCTTCTTCCTTACATAAATTCTGTCTAGAATTAGGAGGGGTAGTGGTGGCGAATTTTTTTTTTCATATAATATGCAACTCACGGCTGGAGAGATTTCTTGTAGCCTGTGGCTATGTAGGACAAAGAGCCCTTTGCCCAGATTATAAGTAATAGATTTTTTTTGGCGGGGGTTGGTAATGGAAAGAATATCTTTTACCGGTGCCTAGGCCCATTGCTGTCTGACTCAGGATCAGGGAGCAGGAAATATGAGTAAGCAGCAACCACTAAAACCAGGGAATGATTTACTTTGCAGAATCAGAATCTCGGTGTAAGGAGGCTTGTCTGGGCATGCCCAGATCATCCAGCATGGGAGTGGAGATATCTTCTCCCCATCCCCGGTGACCTTTTGCCCTGGCTCTGAGAATTGGGCCTGGGGTCTCTGTTGTGTGGTGTTTGTCCTTATTAGTTTCAGGTGCCACCCCTGGCGACCTTGGAGCCAGGATTGCAGGTGGGATGTTATGGCCAGTTAGTCTGGTAGGGATGCCCCGAGAAGCCACAGTGCCTGGGACTTGAGCCCGAGGCCGGCTTTGCACTTGGAACTGGGACTGTGCGCTCCATAGGAACCGAGCCAACTATGAACCTAATCTCTCCCTTCGCACCAACTCATACCCAGGGAGGGGAAGGGGATTAGGTTCGTAGTTTAGCTCAATTCCTATGGAGCACACGAAACCAATTCCAAGTCCAAACCCCATCTCGGGCTTATATCCTGGCACCCGGACTTCTCTGGGCTTTCCTGCCAAGGTGGCTGGCTGCAACGTCTCTAAAATCTCTTCCAGCTCAATCCTGCTGTCATGATGGGGTCAGAAGGGACTTCAGAGATCAGCTAGGTATCATTAATTTATTTTCCAACCCAACATTCAGGACAAACCGTCTAGCATCGGATGTTTTTGGTTATTCAGTTTATGGGGACAGCAGGGCAAAGTAATTGAAATTGGAACTGTCCTAGAAAACCGAGGAATTCTGCTCACCACCGAGCTCTTTTCATTTGATACATGAGGAAGCTGAGGTCAAACAGTGGTGAAATGACCTATTGAAGGGTCACCCAGTAAGATAGTGGAAGAGCTAGAGACTCGAGCCAGCTTTCCCAATTCTTGTTCTCTTTCTCTGTTGCCACAGGCAGTGCTGCTCATCACTCTGGACCAGTCTCAGACTGGGGAGGGGGGCACTAGATAGGAGTATTGGTTCAATTCAGACATTGAAAGCTTGATAATAATAATAACTGATATTTACATGGCACTTTAAAGTTTACAAAGTGCTTACAGACAACTCATTTAATCCTCACAACTGCATCCATGGGGCAGGCACTTCAGGTATTATTATTCCTGTTTTACAGATAGGGAAACTGAGGCAGAGGGCAGTTAAGTAACTTATCTATGGTCATACAGCTAGTAAGTGTTCAAGGAGGGGATTTTTTTTTTACCCAGTCTTCTTGACTCCGAGTCCAGCACTCTGTCAACTAGATTCACACTGCTTCTGACAGATTGGAAATTCTGATGGGTTAGGAATCAGTCAATCAGTAACACAAGTATCTATGGAGTACCTGCCAGTGTTCTGCTTGGTATTAGGTAGGAGGGTTCAGAAGAAAGATAAAGCCCAGGCCCTATGCCTGAGGAGCAGGAGATTAGATACATGCAGGAAAAAAATGTGGAGCAATAGAAAGCATAACATAGCCAAGCACCAGGTGATGAAGGATTGGTTGTAAGTGCTAGAAGGAAGGGAAAGATAAATATGAGCTGAGGAAGAAACTTAATTCAGGGCAAGAAGCATTGCTTCAGGAGTCAGACTTTGCCACCAAGTCTCAGCCCTTTTTGCCCTAGAAGATTCCTTTTCCCCTGTGGCCCTCTCCTCCCATTGGAAAGATGGGTAGTCCCTTTTTATGTGTCATCTTCCCTAACTAGAATGTAAGCTCCTTGAGGGCAGGGATTGCCTTTAATTTTGCTTATAGTTGTATTCCCAGTGCCTGGTACACAGTAAGTACTTAAAATATGCTTGTTGACTTGACTTGGTCTAGGTTCAAATCCTTCCCTCCTACCCCCTTATACCCCACCCCCCCAAACTAATGCTTACTACCTGTATTACCTTTCCCTCTTTGGGTCTTGGTTTCCTTCCCTGTAAAATAAAAGGAATGAGCTAGATGCCCTCCAACTTTAAATCCTAGGATACTATAAGATCTTGAAAATGAGAGCGTGAACAGTTCTTCCACTTTGGATCTACCCATAGGCCTTTGGGCTGGTGTTCTTTGAACTGCTTTAGAGCAGAGTCTGTTGATAGGCAAAAGAGCAAGCCAACTAACTGAGACTTCATAGCAGAGCTGTGTGGCTCTGGGCAGTCTGGTTACTCGAGTGGTTTTCCTCCTGTGTTTTTGCTTCTGTTTTGTTACCTTGTTGCATCCCTTGTTGCATCCATCTTGGGCACCAGGCCTTCTGTGAGCTGCCCAAGGCTCTAGGCCCAAAGAGCAGGGCAGTGATGATTCTGTCACAAGGTCAGATACACATACACCTGTGTCTTTGATAACACTTTCTGTGATGTTCACTATTTTCCAGGGCGGGCCTGT